GAGCTAGGGCTCATTATTGATGTTTCTATCTCTCTTTCCCTCTCCCTTCATCTCTGAAATCAATAAAAAAAATATTTTTATAAAAAGACATTTCTGCCAAAACCAGTTTGGCTCAGTGGTAGAGAGTCCATCTGTGGACTGAAAGGTCCCAGGTTCGATTCGGTCAAGAGCATGTACATTGGTTGTGGGCACATGCCCGATAGGGGGTGTGCAAGAGGCAGCTGGTCGATGTTTCTCTCTCATTGACGTTTCTAGCTCTCTATCTCTCTCCCTTCCTCCTCTCTGTAAAATATCAATAAAATATATATATATTTTTAAAAGACATTTCTTCAAAACACTTAACTTCCATTATTTTATTATGCCCATTTTGTCACAACACCACTTGGCTGCCATGGGCCCCAACTGTCCAAATAAATGTGCAAATCAATGATGTCTACAAGGCAAGCGACACCTCATGGGTGCCTTCATGGCAGCCTTCCATCCAATCTTTCCATTGTACAGGTGAGGAAGGAAAGCCACGGAGAGGAGACGTGACCGTCCCAATGTCTCCCTCCCTGCCCACTGGTCGCCGGCTCTGGGACATTCTCGCCATGCCCACGGCTTCCCCGCAGGAGCCTGGCTTCCTGGCAACTCTCTCCAAGGACCACCAAGGGGATCCCCTAAAACTCGCATTCCCCCCACTTCCTGGAGCACAGGGCTCACCTTGCAAACGCTCCCAGCTTTGACACATCTTGTAACAATGAGCCCTGAGAGCGCCATTTCCCGTGATAGGAGGCAGGTGTACGATTGTTGACTACACGCCTCCAGAGACCTTATTAAAGCAGCGAAACCAATTAACTCAGAATCATGGGACCTTTTCCAGAAAAAGGCATCGGAGCCACAGGAGCTTGTGGGAACAGGTCTGGGGGGGGGGGGGGGTGGGGGGCAGCGGCCCCTTTGATCCTCTGGGTCAGGAGGGCCCACGGGCTGGGAGACCTCTGACTGCATCATCGCTCTTCTGATGGAGCAGAGGGTGGTGGGCGGGCCTTGTGTGCAGGGACAGAGAGCAAGCCAGGGCGACAGAGGAGATGAGAAGCAACTCGTCCATGAGAGCCGATTCCAAAGCCTCAATGAAAATGCCTCAGTGGCACCGGAAGGGACTCATAGGGAGCCAGCATGAGAAGAAGAATCAGGTGCTCCCCGCTGCCGAGTCTCCTCCACTTAGGAGGTCGGTGGTGAAGCCACAGCGAAGCACAAGGAGGGGAAAGGCAGAGTTGCATCTCTGCACCTGCTGGTTGGCTTCCGGTGGGACAGTCTCTGGGCTGGGGTCGGGCCTGCCCTCCTCCCAGGTGGAACCAGGTGAGGAATGGGTGACCACCGCTGGACTGATGTCCCCGGAGGCTTCTCAGATAGGCTATCCGGGCTGAGGCAGGTGCTGTGCTTCAAGATCACCCCAATCTTACAAATGAGCCCATGAATGCAGCGAGCTCATGCTGGCCCACGGGGAGCCATCTTGACCTCCGTCCAACATGGTATTCCCAGCCAAAGCCTCCTTCCCAGAACAGGTACTTTGCTGAGCGCTGGCACCTGTCCAGGGACTCCCCACGCTCAGCCCCTTAAATCTGAGCCTGTGATCCCCAAGTCGGACAAATGGCCCTTTCCCCGTATGTCTGAGGGGACCTTGGGCCCTGACCTGCGAGGTGGTTCTGGGTTACTTCCAGGAACACTGGGGCCAGGAGTGAGTGCTGTGTGCGTGGCCTGGCAACCTCACCTCCTCTGCCACCCTTGGGCCAATCGCCAGAGGCCAGTCCAGTGCCCACCCTGCCCGGCGCTGAGTGCACCTCTGCGTGTGGTCATGGTTATGATGTGTCCTATGCGTGAAAAAGCCAGACTTTGTCCTCCTTTCCTTCTCCAGTGACCAAGTGGCCAGCTCCAGCTGCCCACCCCTTTTCTGTCCCTTTCCTGCCCTCAATCCTCTTGGCGAGTTAAAACAGGGCTTGCGCTCCCTCTGGGCTCTTTGCTGAAGGGCCGATTTGAATTCCTGGTGTGAATTCAAACATTTTTCTTTGGGGCTAAGGGTGAGCTGGGTGGGAGCTCTTCCCCATGTCTCATGAAAACGGACATAGGCTAAGCTCGTTCTGGAATCTGGGGGCAGAGGATTGATTGAGCATCTACTCTGGTCAAATACTCTACATCGCTTGTCTCATTTCACATGCCCAGCAAGCCTGCGGGGTACATATGGTCATCACTGTCGGACAAACAGTGAAACTGGAGGACAGGTAAGGTAAGTGACTGTCCCCAGTGAGGAAGTGGCTAAATGGGCCCAGTGTGGGGTGTGCAGGAGGCGGCTGGTCAATGATTCTCTCTCATCATTGATGCTTCTATCTCTCTCTTCCTCCTCCTTTCTCTCTGAAATCTATTAAAAATTATAAAAATGAAATCAGTTCTTATCCTTTGCAAAACATTACTAGGTCCTAGTCATGCCTTCCCAAAGAAATATTCCACCGTGGGCCTGGGATCATGTCCCAAGGCCTGTTGCTCCCTGCATGGCTCCATGGCACCGTTGGGTGTGGGAACAAAAGGTCTGCTTACAATATTCTCTTTCTCAGGACTGGAAGTGAGGTGTTTTGGACTCCTCCCCACTGATCAATTTTTCAGTCTGCTGCTTTATCTACCTGACAGGAAGACTTGAACTCCTGCCATTTCTAAATTGCTCTTCTAAATATTGACTTAATGGCGAGACTCAAAGTGTCATAACACAGCTCACTGGAGCAATGAAGATTTTCCAGGCCTCGTCGAGGGGCCTGTGCAATGTCTCGTGGGACTGGGGAAGGAAGAGGAGGATTCGAAAAGGAAAACAAAATCCAGCCGTGTTTAGAAGAAACACCACCGCCCTTTGCTTCATCTTCCTGAGACAAATGGACACTTGCCGTGCTATTAGCTGTGGCTGGAGGGGACCCAGGGAGAGAGGAGAGCAGTGACCCCCATCCCTCAGCTGTCAGCCAGAGTGCCGGGCCATCCCGGCAGGCTGCGCGGCCACTATCTGTGTCTCCAGTTCAGTGGGACTGGACGGTGTGTAGGAAACCAGAGACTTTCCATCCATTTCTATCAAGAAATTTCTATCAAGTCACCAAGGCTAGGTCTTTAGAGAATCCTCTTGCAGGTCGCTGGTTTGGCTCAGTGGATAGAGTGTCGGCCTGCGGACTGAAAGGTCCCAGGTTGGATTCCAGTCAAGGGCACATATCCAGGTTGTGGGCTTGAGCAGGAGGCGTGCAGGAGGCAGCTGATCAATAATTCTCTCGTCTTCGGTGTTTCTATCTCTCCCTCTCCTTCCCTCTCTGAAATCAATTAAAAAAAATAAATATATATATATATATATATATATATATATAGAATGATGCTCTGTGACTGCTCAGGAAGAGCTAGGGTTCCAAAACCTAGATGTTGGGTTAACCAGAGCCCATGGGCAGTGTTTTGCCTTGAGGGCCCTCGGGTGTATTTTAAGGTGATCTCTGAGGTGGCGCACCCAACCCGCACACTCCTGTGTCTGCATGTGGACCTTGTTGGTTTGTGGGGTTTTTTGTTGTTGTTTGTTTGTTTGTTTTAAATAATGATTTCTGAGAATGACCTCAAACTGCAGCTCAAGCTTTTGGCTTCAGACCTCCCGGCTTGAGCTTGGCTCTCCCACAAGTCTGATCAGCTTGGCTGATGCACTGTCTTGTCTCCTTGATCTCAATCTAACTTCGTGCAAAAGCTAGAGTCTCCTTTAAAGGTAATGGAGCTCTCTGAAGCCCCTCCCTTGCCCGAAAGCTTCTTACCATCCCAGCCCAGGTGTCTGCGATGGATACTATCCCAGGTGTCTTCTGAGGAAACTCTAGCTTTCCCCCGGAAACTGCATCTGCCCGTAGGCCAGCCTGTGTCTGCCTGCTCTTCTGCCCGGTTCTGGATGAAGACAGCCTGCTCCTGCCTTCACAGCTCCCCTGAACATGCCAGGCTCTGCTCTGTGGCACTTCCAGGGCCCTCGCCACAGCATGGCTGTCCATGGCTCTATCTGTTTGTGTTCTATGCTCCTGAGAGCAGGTGTAGCCTGGAGCATCTCCCAAACTCCTGCTGAAGGCCACGCCCTCAGTGTGGGCCATCTATGACTCAGCCTTGGCTTACTCGTCCTTCGCCCCATTCTCATCCACCGTCCCCCACAACCCACCATGCTCTCATCATTCTATCAGGCCGCTGCTGCCCTCCAACCCAAGCCAATGAGACCCCCTCAGCCGCTTCTCCCTATCTGTCCCTTCATTTCTTCTAGACCTTCCCTGAGACTTTCTTCTGCATGGCAATCAGAATTAGGGAGAAAGTGTCTACAGCCATGCCCATGGAAAAGTCAAATTGCACCCTTACCCGAGAACAAATCCCTCCAGTGGGAAGACAATGCAAAGTTGGTTGTATCATTACCACTGAGTCCTCTCATCCTTAATGAGCTATTCTCCATTGCTAGATTTGGAGCTATTCTCCACTTCAAGAGTGTCCTGAAGACGCCTCAGAGCAGCCAGGGCAGCTGGCATGGTTGCTCACCTCATTGCAGTAAATGAAGTAATTTCATTTTTCAATGAATATTATTTTGAGGGGTTCCACCAAATACACTACTGAAAGTTGTAAGTATTCTGAATCATCTTTTCAACGCAGTAGAGGAGCTCCAAACCTAAAGAATTGGTATGCCAGATTCTCTTGCCAGGCAAATAGGCGCACTGTAACTCTCTCGTGTGTATCTAAGCCTTAGATTCTAAGGTTTTGCATAGGAAAAAGCATGATAGACTACAGCAGCACTGCTGAACCAGGGGGATCTGGAATGGCATTGTGCCTGCTCTGGTGTTAGAGAGTTCAAAAGAAAAGTTTACAAACACGTTCAAAAGCCATCTTTCTTGACTAAAGATCTCATTTTCCAAGCCCTGGCCCGGGCTTCACACATGTCATCCCTTGTCTTTGGGGACTCCACGGTGTTTTGAGATGTGGGTGGACGCACTCACCTGGCCAGTAGTACATGTGGACCTTCCTCTTGGCTTTGGTCAGGGTGACCCACAGAGGTTCTGACCCATTCCACCAGAGTGGCATCAGGCTGTCTTTGTTGACACCAATGTCAAATGACTTGTTGGTGTTGGAGTCCCACATGTAGTTCCCGATCATCTGGTGGACCTCAGTATGTCTGCCTGCAGTAAATAGAACACAAAGCTATCGTTACTGTTCCGGGATTTTTATATTGTCCTAGTGACCCGGTGCATGGATTCGTGCACATTAAAGGGAAATTAACTAGGAGGTGGCCAGTGGGGCGGTACTGGCAGAAAATGCCCTGGAGCCAACCTCCCGTGGCCTCTCCCCAGCATCTGTGGAGTGAGTGGGGTCCCTCTGGCAGGTGGGGTCCCTCTGCCTGGCCTGGGGGAATTGGACCAAAACCGGCTCTCCAATATCCCCTGAGGGGTCCCAGAGAGCACTCTGCAAAGTAGTTACCGTACGCAAACACCAAGTGTGCGTGCAGAAAACCAGATGCGGGGACGATAGTGCCCCAGCAACAACATAACCCACGACTGAAGTTGGAATCACCTGGGGTGCATCACCCGAGAACCCGTGCTGCCAAGTCACTGTAGCTCTGCAGCTCCTGTCTTCCCCCTGGTGGTCAGCGCTCATTATAGCAACAGTCAGACAGTTGGAGAGACACTTAGCATATTAGCCTTTTATATATATATATATATATATATATATATATATATATATATGTCTATCTATCTTTGTTTTTGGTTTATAAGAGCAGTTCAACCACACTGAGGAAGTATAGAGCAGCATAAAGATTGGTGTTTGACTTTTTTTTTTTTTTTTAACATAGATGTTTCTCCTCTCTCAGTTGTACCACAATGGCACACAACACAGTGAAAAGTCCAATAATTGATTGAGGACGGGATCATTTTGTGTGAAATCCATCTGCCAAGTCTAAGCTATTTTAAGTTAAACTGAGGCTGCTGTGTGAAAAATGTGACCCATTGCTCCTGGCTGGAAGTCTAAGTGTGAATCTAAATGGAAATGGCAGACCCCTGTGGGACTTGGGTTAGGGTCTCTCCCCAGCACTCCCGTTCCCCCTCCAAGCCGGTGACCTTCCTGCGAGATCACAAGTACAAGCTATGGAGCTCATTCCCTTCCTTCCTGTAGAAGCGGAGTTACAGCTTCCATGCAGAACAGTGACAGAACCTGTGGCATTTGGAACAGAACGGCGAGAACTAGATGCAACACAAAAAAGCAACAGTCCAAATGGAGTGTTAGAGACATGGCGGCGCTTCTGTTGGGCACGGCTTTGTCCCAGAAGAGAAGCCAGAAGCGAGAGACACACGCGCTTGGCCGCCTTTGAAACGCGAGGCTTACATTATTTATGTGGCGGCAATCTGTTACATCTTTAAAGTAAAAATAACACAAACATTGGCAAGTGCATCAGAAGTTGCTGCAGTTGTAGAGAGCGTCACTTGGCACCGGAGAAGGCCTGCTTCCTTGAGCTGACTGCGCTTCACCGACTTGGGCTTTTGTTTGTTTGCCGTTTCTTCCTGACTGTCCCCACCCCAACACACACACAGACTCTTAATTTTTAAGCAAAAACAAGGAAAAACCATACCATAAAATTTGGAAATCCCACATAGCAAAAGGGAAACCTTTTATTTCATCCCAGAAGCCCAGGCTCTGCACAAGTCACGCTTTGACCTTAGAGCCCGGGGGTCCACAGGGAGTGGGTTTTTACCCAGAGCTTTGCCGGGACCAGTGCTTTGTCCTCGTCTGAGTGAAAGGGTCCCGCGTGTGGAGGGGAGCTCTGCCAACAAGACCCTCTCGGACCCTGTTTGGTGGCCTGGGCCTGGGCTTGCGACGGGAGGCTGTGTTCGCATCACTCTGAAATCAATTTTTGAGAAAACAGCTGGTTGAAACGTGAAGAATAAACTTACATTTTAGGCGCATCCATGTGTTCCAAACATGACAACATAAATAGTTTACACATACTAATGAGGAGCTGGAGACGATTCTTTTAGGACATTATGTTTTCACAGAGGCAGCCCTCGGGAGTTGAGTTCCAAGTTGCAGGCTGGAAGTCTGGGTTACAACTGAACCAGGCGGAGGGCCATCTGTCCAGCTCTAAAAGGAGATGGATTCAGTGGGAAGATGCCAGCCAAGTGGTCAGAGAGACCACAGCTAGCCCACCTCTCAGGTGAAGCCACTGGGGCCCAGAGAGTCTCACAAAGGAGGGGGAGGGGACTCAGGCGTCGGCAGGCGGCCTGGCCCGGGGCCCTGGCTCTCTGCGGCTGTGACCGCCTGCAGGAATCGCAGGGTAGGAACTGGCACTTGGTACAGGTCCCAGCCCTTTGCAAGCCCGAGGAAAGGGAGCTGGTGCCCACAAGCTGGCTCTGATGCCATCGGCCAGCTCCACCCTCCAGACAGGAGGGCTGGGGACGAGCTCCGTCCCTGGTGAGGGTCTAGGCTCCGCCTCCTCAGGCAGCGCTGCATCTGGGGCAATGCATGAAGGCGCTGGGGGCCAAGGGAGGCGCAGGAGGGTCCCCACTGAAGGCAAAGGCCTGAGCCAATTCGACAGGTGCTTGCTGGTGGGCTCTGAGAAAAGACGAGCTAGCGGTGTCGGGCCACCTCCCATGGGGTGGGAACTAGAGCTTCCAGCTTCCATCTCACTGGGCCTCCCGTCACTCCGAGAGACAGACGATTGCACAGATGCCATGGGGTTCGGCGTGGCTGGGTGACCAGGCGGTGGGCAAAAAGGCAGAGCCTGGTCCAACCCAGGCCTCTTTGCCCCAGTCCTGACCCTCTGGGCCCAGCGACCCTGCAGCCACTGGGCTCTCACCGCCCAGCAGGGCCGGGCTGTCTTCATAGAAGTGGCCTCCAAATCCAGGTCTGCTCCCCAGACTCTCGGGAAAGTAGCCACAGGGAGTTCGGGTCTCAGAAAGCCAGGCGCACCCCTGTCTCCTGCCCACTGGCATGAGCCGTTACCGTAAATATCCTAAAGGAGGACGCTACCAGCCCAGGGGCACTAACAAAGCAAGCAAGAACCTTCCATTCCCTCTCTCTCTGGAAAGAGTCTAGTTGTGAAGAGTCGTCCAAAGCTCTGGACCGTTCGGGCCTCACGCTAATGAGTGCCTCTTGGAGGTCAAGTGTGTAAGCATCACCTCACATTGACACGGCCCCAGGAAGCAATCCTAGCCGAGTCCCAGCCGGCAGCCCGAGCGGGTCATAGAAGGCAGGGCTTCCCACCACCAGACTCCTCCTCCGAGCGCTTTCCCGGAGTCTTTGAGGGCCTGAGAGCGGCGGAGACCCTGCCTAGTGCATTTTCAAATAAGTACTTGCTATCCAAGGGACTCGGATGCACTGCCCAGAAAAGGAAGTGTGCTCCCCAGGCCATCTCTGCCGGGGATACATCTTACTAACCGATCCGAAGGCAGAGCGTGTGCGTGAAAGACGCGGCTTCGGAGGGGCCTGCCAGCGGAGAGCACGCCGTTAGCTCCCCTGCAGGTGCCACTCCGGCGGGAGGTGCCAGACGGGCGCCATTCGTGTCGGAATCACAGAGATTGCAAGACCGAGGCAGCAGGCTTTGGTTATTGCGGGAGGCGCCGAGGCAAAAAGAACCCGCAATGTTAAAGGGGTGGCAGGAGGTTTGATTAGAGGCATTCATGCTCCTGCTTTTGAGGTCGCTGGACTCGAACTGACGCGCTGCTGTTTTCCTGGCGGGCGCTGGCTTGGAGCCGTTGTTTAACGACTAGAATGCAGGAAAGGAGGCAGAAACGGTTTTCCCGCGTCAGGACAAACACGCAAGATTGGCAGTTCTTATGTAAACACTCTTTGGTTTGGGGAAGTGAATTTTTAGCAAAGCTCAGAAATTTCCAGGTAACTGAACCCATGACCCCCTCTGCGAGGACGTAGGGGCGAGCTTGAATTACTTTCTGCTTTTGGGACGGGATCTCTTTATTATTTTATTTTGTTTTATTTTGTTTAAAGTATTACACAATATATATCTCCTTTTTTCCCTTCCATTGACCTTCCCCCAGCCTCCCTTACCCTCTGTCACATACCCTCATTCCCACCCCCACCGCCCAGTGTCTTGTGTCCATTGGTTGTGCATATAAGTCCTTCGATTGATCTCTTCCCCACCTCCCCCACCCCTCTCTCCAACACCCCCCAGCCTTCCCACTGTAATTTGACAGTCTGTTTGGTGCTTTACTGCCTCTGTGTTTATCTTTTTGTTCATCAGGTTGTAATGCTCTTTATTTTCCATAAATGAGTGGGATCATGTGGCACTTTTCTTTCATGGCACACTTCCTCTGCACTGAGTCCTCCCAGTGCCTCTAGGGATGGGAGGTCCTTGGAGGGGAAGCTCATGGCCTATGGGTCCTTACACAGGAGGGAAGCCAGCAGTGTCTCTGTCCTGAACTTCCTTCTCCCTGGTGATTAGGTGCCCACCTTCCCCACCCACCAGCTCCTTCCTGCGCCCCAGACATCGTTCTGGCCCAGGCCTCACGCTCCTGGAGCGGTGACTTTGGCTAAAACAGTCTCCAGCGCCTTCCCATCCTGTCTGCTGTGGCCGGGCAGAGGCCTCTTTGCATTCTCTTCTCTGAGACGGAATGGGGGTGAGGCGAGGGGGCACGCACACGGCTGGCTCTAGTTTTCCAGCTGCCCTCCCCACCCCCATGACTGGAGCAGGGTGGAAGGTAAGAATGGGGAGTTCAATTCAGTAAAAATAAAAAAAATTAAAAGGGGGGGGGGCGGTGAGGAGAAGAGCACACTTAGGCTTTGGATCCAAGCCACGTTCTCCCATCTAGCTTCTCCATCGGTGCAGAACCCGGGGTGACCGATGGGTGACCAGACGTCAACATATTATCGGAACAGCCGCCAAGGCCAAGAGCTGATACAGAATTTTGGGCTCCAGCTGCTGGGGAGTGTGCTGTCATCAGCAACACCAGCGGCTCTAGCCAGTGAGAACCAACCAACCACAGGAAGCAAATGGACGAGGTCCGCCTTGTTTGTTTTGGAAGAATGTGTGAGATAAGGTGCTGGCCTATCCATCCATGTTCACTGCCTTGGGCCAGGTGTGGCCAGAGAAGTGAGACCAGCCCCCGAGCCATGGGGGGAAGAGAATGTAGGTCATCGTGGCAGCCTCAGCCCACCTGTTCTGACCCATGGC